CCCCCCCCCCCCCCCCCCCCGGGAATCAGTGGGATTAGAGACTTATCAGTGTAATCATATGTAATAGTATATCCAATATCCATACTCGTCATGTACATGTAATGTCACGCAGCTCCATCACTACAAACCATACACGTCCCCTATTACTTCGGATATGATTAGCGCTGCTTGTTTCTGAATTCCGTCACTGCATATACGCAAGTTGCTGCTACTCGTGACGGGATGTAATGTGTAATGTTGGTAAGGATGGAAAACTGCCTACCTGCATTGCATATTGCTAGTCTCTGGTCATGACCTGGTCGGCCGCGATGACATTGGCTGGCTGATCAGCAAGAGGCGGACGGCATTACGGACCTTGGGCTCGTCTTGACGATGCGGCGGAAGGGGAAGGCGAAGTCGAGTCCTCAGGCGTGCAAGTGCACTTCTCGGGTCATGGGCTATAGACTGGCCATCACCAGTCTATCTTGGGTATTATTGATCAGACGACGATGACGGTCCGACGCAGAGACGCTCCACGCCGGCAGTGCATAGAGATGATGTGCGTTGGGAAATAATGATCTGTAGAGGCGGGATGCTAGTGCTTGCTAGTCTGTTGATCGTCCAGTGCTAACTCGTAATCGATGGCAGTAGTATCGGTAGCCGTGATACTTGCAATGTGCGTACAAGGTACTCTGTATATCGGTATCGCCGGTACCCTATTCTGCTGGCAGATCTACCCGGCTCTGCCGTCCGTCTACATGCGAGCCTACGTGTATTCTGTACGTGTAGTCGTAGACTCTCGTGTGTGATCTGTACACTCGTGGCAGACCTCCCCGACAGGAATGCACTGATACTCGTCACTCGGGTTTGATGACAATCGACGCCGCTGCCGAGCACGATTCGATTGTCACCGTCACCGTCGACGGCAGTGATACGTATAGAAGAGGAGAATAGATCGATCAAAAAAAAAAAAAATCGCATACCTATAGATAGATGTCATGGACAGATAGACGCGCAGACCGACGAGAGCGGTAAGCAAGCACACATTCGTCAACAAACCATTCAATCGTCATCTTCTCCCCCTCGTCTCCTCGTCTCCTCCTGCTCCTTGTTTCTCTGTGTGGTATTATTACGCGCTTGCTCGCTCAGAGCCCTCATCACACGTGGAGACCGGGACCCGGGTATGTCGATCAGGTCGCCTTCACGAGCGAGGGAAGGGGG